ACCCCGCCCCTCCAAAACCCGGGCCTGTCCCGCCTCCCCTCCCTCGGAAAGCCAATGGGAGCAAGAGGGAGGGGGAGCCCCGCCTCCGGGGTTGGAGGAGGCGGCTGCCATTCAGGAGGGAGCGGCCCGGGACTGCTGCGCGGTTGAGTTTCGCTCGCTGCTCGCCCGTGGAGGAAGATGCCCGTGGATCTGGCCGGCTGGGGGGGACCCCTGAGCCTCCAGGAGGTGGAGGAGAAGCCGGCCGCCCCCTTGCGCGTCTGCTACGGGTCGCTGGAGATCGACGAGCTGGGCAAAGTGCTGACGCCCACCCAGGTATTCTGAGTGCAAACGCTATCCTGGAGGGAAAAAAAATCATGATCCCCGTGCAAAAATGCACCCCTAGGTTGAATGCTTCCGATTTGCAAAAGGCAATCGCCCTCCTTGACCCTTTGCAATGCTTTGCAATAGGGCAAAAGAGGGGGTGGTGCTGCACACCTACCCCACCCTCTAACATGCAGTGGAGAGGCGTGAGCAGGCCCTGCTCGGCGCAGGAGACGCCTCGCTTGCATGGCCTTGATTTCCCGGTGCCAGTGCGATTAGGGTGCAGAGGGGCACGGGTCGGAGTTTTGCCTTTGCCTTCTCTTAGTAAATATTTAATCATAGCTGTGCATTTGCAGTCATTAGGCGAGGACAAGATGGTCGTTGCACGGGCAGGAGCAGATGGGTAACCCGAGGCGTGCTTTGGGGCATGTGCAGAGTGGCTTTCCTCCCCTCGCTGGTGCGGGAACGAGGGCAAGCGTTTGGGCTCATAGGCACGTTCGCCACGAAAGTGGCTTTTTCTCTACCCTTTTTGTAGGAACCCAGTAATGTCGTTTGGGGATCGTTTGATCTCTTCCGCAAGAAGAAAGAAGGAGGGCGACTCTTCAAAACCCACAGAGCAATCGGATTTGAAATGTTATATATTTGCAAAACCCACTTTGCAAAAAACAGCACCACCCAAAATAGTTGGCAAAGGAAACAGGAGATGCCAAAGTGGGCGGAGGCTTTTGCAGCAATCAAAGCAGTGCCCTCTCGTTTATTTTTAATTTTAACTTTATCCGATGCCTTTGTCTTCTAGCCTTCTGCCAGATCTGGAATGCAGAGTAGCTGAAACAACTTAAAACTATAAAGGAAATCAGAAAAGATAGGGGATATAAAAGTCAGAGTATCTGAAATGCACTAAAACAAAAGAGAGAAATTGGATTTAATGCAGTGGGGTAAACTAGAAAAGGGCATGGTTGGCTGATCAGCTGCTTCGTGATCATATTGCTGGAGTTGATTCCAGGTATAGCACTTGAATTTGGAAGTTATTGCTGTGAACCCACAACATGCATTCAGAACAACTCTCAATGCACTTGCAACAGGCCATTCTTAGGCTGCAAAAACATAATAATAATAATAAATTTTAAAAAAGAAAAAGAGAAGAAACCTATCAAAGAGATAACAGAAGTGGCCAGATCAACAGTTTGGTGCATTCTGGGGGGGAGAACACGCTGGTGGGCTCTGCAACGCAAAAAGGCCCGGACCCTTTCCATGGTAAAGAAAAACCCCTTCAAAACATCCAGCCAAGTCCAGAGCACTCTCCAGCAGGTAGGTATATCATTCTCCAAGTCTTCCATAAAGAGAAGATTTAACGAGAGCAAATACAGAGGGTTCACCATAAGCCTCTAAGAACAAAAAAACTTAAGAGCTTGCCAAAAAAATATCTTTAAAAGCCAGCCCAGTTCTGGAACAGCAGTTTTTGGAGCAGCAAATACAGAGGGTTCACCATAAGCCTCAAGAACAAAAAAGCTTAAGAGTTTGCCAAAAAAAAATATCTTTAAAAGCCGGCCCAGTTTTGGAACAGCATTTTTTGGAGCGATTAAACTAAGATCAACCTGTACTAGAATGATTGGAGGAAGAAAGCATGGAGAAGACTTGGAACAGCTCATGATCCGAAGCAGAGCACATCATCTGTATGTAAAAATATGGTGGAGGCAGTGAATGGTCATATATGGCTTCCAATGGCACTGGGTGACAAGTGTTTGTTGATGATTGGACAGAAGGCAGAAGCAGCCGGACAAATTCTGAAGTTTATAGGGATATATTGTCTGCTCAAATTCAGTCAAATTCAGCAGAGTTGATAGGATTTACAGATAGACAGTGACCCAAAACATACTGAGAAAAGCAGCCCAGGAGTTTTTTAAGGCAAAGAAGTGGAATATTCTGCAACGGCCAAGTCAGTTACATGATCTTGACCTATTCTGCAACGGCCAAGTCAGTTACATGATGATCTAATTGAGCATGCATTTCACTTGCTGAAGACAAAACCTAAGGCAGGAAGATCTACGAACAAACAAGAATTGAAGAGAGCTGCCAGCATGCATTTCACTTGTTGAAGACAAAACCTAAGACAGAAAGATCCACGAACAAACAAGAATTGAAGAGAGTTGCAATAAAGGCCTGGCAAAGCATCACAAAGGAGGAAGCCCAACGTTCACTGGCAAAGCATCACAAAGCAGGAAACCCAACATTCGGTGATGCCCATGCGTTCCAGACTTCCAGCTGACATGGCCTCCAAAGGATTCCCAGCAAAGTATTAAAGATGAATATTTTATTTATGATAGTGCTAATTTGTCCAATTACATTTGATCCCCTGAAATAAGGTGGCTGTGCATTGGTGTATGAAAATGGTTGCAATTCCTAAACGTCTTTATACAGTGTTTTTGTTCAAACCTTTGAATTAAAGATGAAAGCCTGCCCTTCGGTGGCATCTTGGTTTCATTTCAAATCCATTGTGGTGGCCTACAGAGCCAGAATTTTGAAAATTGTGTCAGTGTCCCAATTAATTCTGGACTTAACTGCCTACACATACACATGTATATAAGTGGATAGATAATGAGAACCAAACAGCCTTGGTCTAAATGGGCCAGCAGCTTGACTCCGTATAAAGCAGCTTCCGTAAGATGCGTACGCCTTTTTTTTGGTAGATCCTATGGTGCATTAAAAGCAAGCAAGTTAGTGCTATTAAATGATATTTCCTTGGTTTTGGTTGCCTTTGAAAGATGGTGGCACAGCTCCATTCTGGATGAGTATTAAATTGGAAGCTGGGGAGTAGCTTTTGTTTTGAGTTTCTTGTTTCATTCCATGATTACGGTAACAGTGGTAGCTCTTTATCTTTAAGTTCATCCTTAACTGGCCTAAAGATATCACTGGCCTTGACCATGGGTAGCAAAGATAGGGCTGTTGACAGTTTGGGAGAGTATTTTGTATGGACAAAAACATGAATTTATTTATTTTCTTACATGAATGAATAATGGTAGCTATTCTGTCCTCATTCTGAGTATTTGGTGTTTTGTTTTGGCAGGTTAAGAATCGCCCAACGACTATTGAGTGGGATACCTGTGATCCAGAGAAACTTTATACCTTGGTTCTTACTGACCCAGATGCACCTAGCAGGAAAAATCCAAAATTCAGGTTAAGAAATATAGAGTTTCGGCACACGCAGTGGTCCAGAATTTTTGTGCTGTGTTTGATCCAGAATGAATGTATAATCCAGAATGTTTCAGAAGAACCATGTGCCATGAATGTGAATGCACAGACTGCCCCCTCCCCCAATATTCCTGTCTTTCATTATTATGTGGGATTGCTTTGCCTATAACTTAGTCATGATTTTAACTTGAGAAATTCTCTGACTATATATATATTTGGATAGGGTTGCAAGTCACTCATAGTAGTTTTCAGTGGGCATTTTTTTCTTCTTCACACTTTTCCTTGCACATACATGTATCAGTCAAAGGCAGCATAGACAGAGGTCCTAACATGGGTGTGTCTTCGTTTTGCACTGATTTAAAACAATGTCCTTAAGCACTGATGGGGATCAATAGACTGATGATATGTGATGATATAGCTGAATAGTTGCAAGTCACTCATAGTAGTTTTCAGTGGGCATTTTTTTTTCACACTTTTCTTTGCACATACATGTATCAGTCAATGGCAGTATAGACAGAGGTCCTAACATGGTTGTGTCTTCATTTTACACTGATTTAAAGCAATGTCCTTATGCAGGGATGGGGATCAATAGACTGATGATAGGTGACGATATCAACTGAGCAACATGTACAGTAACAGCCTGCTGTGTGAGCACATATCTTGGTTCAGATTCAAGTATGATTTTCTTGGCTGTAAATCAAACTCAATGAACCATAATCTGTTGAACTGTTGGAACCCGTTCTTCTGTTTTATATCCTGTGTGCCAGACTTTGTCATACATCAGTTGCTCCTCTGCTAGAAATATGCCAGCTAATCAGTTATGTGTTTTTCCATTACATCTGCTGTCTGATAAAAATCCAGCAATTTCATTAACTGTGGCTACTTTTTATAAGTACAGTAGCAGCAGGAATTAGAAAGTAAATAGTTGGGATGGGTAGAAGATTCCAACAGGAGCTTGTATCACAGTTAGTATTTCTGTAACTCTGTGTTACAGTTTTTACATGTACGCTTGCTTGCATTTTGATCTGATCTGTTGATTGTATAATAAACAGTTATTGTTGTAATTTAACTGCTGGGCTAAATGAGCTGGATATTTGGCTGTTGAGGTAATTAGAAAGCTTTCTCCCTATTCTCTATTTTTAGTTTTGTGGGGATCATACCCATAGCTCCCACCCCACAAAACATATTTATTTAATGTTTATTTAATTTTTGCTGTAAAGGCTCATTTGAACTGCCATATTTAAAAAAATTTAAAATATTAAGGCAGAGGGATCCAAAGCAATGGAAAATTGCCCTCCCATGACCTTAGATGACACAGGGGGATTATTTGAGCAACCCCCCCCCCCCCGGATTTTCTTTTTAATTGTCGGGTGCTGGGAGTCACATTTGGGCCCCTGTGGGCTGTGTGTCACCCAATGTGACTTAATACCGAGACCAAATGTTGGGTCAGATAAGACACAGCAGGCATTATTAATGAAGTAGGAGGATGGGAATACTTGGGATTTTTGTTTGAGGAGGGATGTGGAGAGGTGCAACAGCTCTTCCTTGTGAGAATGTGGCATCTGAGTGTGTCTTCCAATTCAAGGATTGGCATTTGGCTCTCTGGTATGGTGGCAGAGTTGGGTTCAAGGGTGGCTGAAATCCAGTTGCTTAGCATCCTAAATGGAAACTAGAGTAGGCCCATTAAATCAGTTGAACTTCTGGAGGAGCTGATTTACCATTGATTCAGTGGGCTTTACTGTGGTGGCCACTTACGATGGTAAACGACAGGATTTCAGTCTGTGGCTGCACGAAAGATGGCTTGCTCTAGTTTGTAGCACCGTTGCAAGATTCTATTTGGGGGAAACTGAGGCAGACCCTTTTATCTTTTCCTCAGGGAGTGGCATCACTTCCTGTTGACCAACATGAAGGGCAACGATCTCAACAGTGGCTGTGTCATGTCTGACTATGTTGGATCTGGGCCCCCTAAAGGAACAGGTAGGCATTCTGGGGTTGCCTGGATTGTATTTTTCCATTTTGTCTTGTCAGTGCTGGCATTGAGGGTGTGTAGACTGAATCTCTTGACTCATTTGAGCAGCTCCTTTCAGGGGAAAAAAAAAACTCTGGACCTTTTCTGTCATCATGAGCTGGGTGTGTCTGCTTAAGAGGGTCAGGAGAGTTGCTTCTGCACTGCCGCCTCTTCTGTCGTCCTGTCAACCAGGGTATTAGTTGGTTGTCTCAGTGAAGGCTGGAATGCCAGAGTCATGTGTAAGCAAACGCCTCAACCATGCCCTGTCTTGTGCCTTGACTTTGTGCACCCGAGTGCCCTGTACTAGCCTTCCTCAAACGGGCAGCGTCAAGATGTTAGAGATTACAATGGCCATAAGATCTAGACACCTGCCTGATTGCTGGGGATGATTGGCGTTGGAGTCAAAACATCTGAAGGACACTCATCCGCAATGGCACCATCAATGCGTACAGTACTTTACAGATGACAGTTTTCATTTATGTTTGTTTGTTACATTTATGACTTCCTGTCTTCAGTGGGGAGATCTGGAATCTCTCTCTTCCTTTCCATTTTATAATCCCAATCAGAAATGTGCAGGCTTGTGCTTTTATGTCACAACACCAACAATTCTGCCTGGGGAGATTCATGCCTAAGGAAATTTATATTTTTTGACAGCACGTCCCAGAATCCTGGATATTGCAGTCCAAAACCATGGATTTGCATATGCCTACTGGGACCTCTACACACTCTTCCCTATGCCGTCGCAGAGTCAAGCTGGCAGCGACTGTGGTGACTGGCCCCGGGTCACCCAGGGTGTTTCATGAGTCGGTGGAGAGCAGAATTTGGGTCTCCTCATCCCAGGACTCTTAAATACAGTGGTGCCTCGCTAGACAATGATAATCCGTTCCACTGAAATCGCTGTTTAGGGAAATCGTCTAGCAAAAAGCATTTCCCCATTGGAATGCATTGAAACCTGTTTAATGCATTCCAATGGGGAAGAATTGTCGTTTCCTATGGCGAAGATCGGCCATAGGAAAGCCGCTTTGCGAACCGCCGATCAGCTGTTTAAATAGCTGTCTTGCGAAGCTTAGGTCCCGAAAACACCTGTTTGCGAGCGCGGAGGGAGCTGTCAAAATAGTTGCCTAGCGAAAATTGGTTTGCGAAGCAGGGACCAAACATTGTCCAGCGAAATTCCCCCATAGGAATCACTGTTTTGCGAATTGCTATAGCGATCGCAAAAAGTCAATGTCTAGCGAAAAAACTGCGGGGTAACTGTCTAGCGAGGCACCACTGTACTGTACTCCACTGGCTCACAAGAGGACAAGTCCCTTCCCATTGTCGTTTACCATATAAAATTCAACACCAGGAGGTGATGGGAATCGGTTCAGGGTACTTGCATCTGACCTTGTGCATCCTTTTGTCTGTCCTTCAGGGCTCCATCGCTACGTGTGGCTGGTCTATGAGCAGCCCCAGCAGCTCGACTGCAACGAGCCCGTCCTCACCAACCGCTCCGGGGATCAGCGTGGCAACTTCCAGGTGGCGCATTTCCGCAAGAAGTACAAGCTGGCAGCCCCAGTGGCTGGCACGTGTTACCAGGCCGAGTGGGACGACTATGTGCCAAAGCTCTACGAGCAGTTGTCTGGAAAATGAAGACGGGGCCCTTCTGCTGTTCTGATGCCCACTCTCCTCCCCGATCCTTTCCCACGTAGTGTTGAATCAATTGCGTAAATGCTAATGGATACCCTAAATGTCTTCTGACACTTGCACGGGGCTGGCTGCTCTCCCCTCCCATTAATTGTTCATTCCTTGCAAAATTTAAAACAAACATTAGAAAGTTTGCATAACCAAAAAAAGGAGAGCTGTTTAGCATCTTACTGTTAAAAAAAAAAAGCACAGCTATTTAGAAGAGTAGAGTTGTTTTAAACTGGAATTTCCTGCTGTCTTGTTGTGTTGTCACCCAAATCCGCAAATGCTGATTTCCTCCCTCTTTAAAACTAGGGGCTTATTATTTGGAGGAAGAAGGGGTCATTTGGAGCCAGTGAGGCTCCGTGCCACAGTGGTGTTTCTTGCATAGCAGCTGCATTGGTAACTCATAGGTTGTGTAGTTTTTCCCCAGTATGTTTAGATAGGGGCTTCTTGGCGGTAGCTAACATGGGGTTTTCTCAAATCTTGGAAAAGCTTCCAGAATCACTCAGCCAGCATGGCCACTCAACATGAGCGAGTTGTAGTGCCCAGAACTATATTTTGCAAGCACTGGGAAATACTGTACTCTAGTTTACTGAGGTGCCCTCCTCATCCTTGCAGTTTCATTGAGGCATGCATGCTTGTTAAGGGAAAATAATGTTGTGGCCATAACCACGCTATGAAAGTCAGGGCAGAATTCACCCACTAATTTGCGGCTTCTACATTAGGTTATCCTGTTTCTTCTATCCAACATCCTCCTCAGCATCTCAGTTATCCAGAACAGATGGTCAAAGCTGAATAGGGTGGAGGAACATGGGAGTCTCTAGGTGGGTTTGGAATACAAGTGCCATCGACCTTGGCCGGCACAGAGGATGATGAAAGATCCTTGGAGTTGTGATATGGCTGCACATTTCCCCAGCCATGATATAGAGAAGTCCAAGATAAATAATGTTCAATAATATGGGATTAGACTGGTATCCTGAGAGACCTCTACAGTCTGTGCTAACAATCACTATCCTATTAAAAATGGTGTTGTGACTGCTATTTTAAAATGCTTGTCTTTCATCTTTGGTCCTTTATTTACGTCCCAGCTATCTTTTCCTTCTTATTTTCATGTCTTGACATGGTTTCATGGTCTTGTTTGAACCCTTCTCTTTGTGAATGTTGGGTTTCCCCCTATTTCACCAGTATCACTTCTGAAATAGGGAAATGTCTCTTTTCTGCCCTGAATGTTGCTCTGAGAAGGGACGATGGTTGGCCATTTCATGTTCTTAGAGGGTTTGAAACGTGGTGCACATACCGCGACCAGTGTTGTGTAGCTGTTTGTTGATAAGGGATGGGGTGATTTCTGTATTTTTTTTCTGTTTGGAACTTTCAAATAAATCAAATAATAAATCAAATATCAGAGGGTGGCATGTTGGTTTTTTATTGCTGTTCCTTCATAGAGTCATATTTATCTGTTACATAGGCTTGAGACTGCAGCCTCAAAGGACTGCCATCAACTCTCACAGACATGGACCACCAAAGTTCGGACTCATCTAAAATTTTCTGCACTATCCCTGAAGGGCTAAGCATGAAGATGTGTGGAATTTTCTTCCATGAAAGCTTGCAGTTTGATTGTTAGTTTGTGTAATCTTGTGGACCACATGGCCTTTTCCTTGTTCTTTCTGCTCACAATGGCAGACATGGTTCTTCAATGAATCACACATGGGTTGTGTAGTGCACATGTGCGGAGCTTCAGAAGATTCTAGAGCTTAAGAGAGACTGCTGCGTTTTCTTCCTTTCTCCTGTCAAAGAACATTTCATTACTGTGTAAAGTAGGATTGTTTCTTTCTCTCGATTCAAAGCAGTTCCCTTTGGCCTGTCCAGAGCCCTGAGTCTTCACCAAATGCATGGCCCTGTTACTGCTTATTTGCTCACAAGGGGCATTATGATCTAATTGTGGCTGATTGTGGCAGGCTCCGAGAAGCAGGCACGTGACCACACCAGGTCTATGCTCTCTCTCGTTGAGGACCTTGGCCTTTGAACCTCAACAAGCCCACTCTAGTCCCCTGTCGGGTGTTAACATACATCAGGGCAACCTTGAACTCCAGGGTGTAAGCTCCTCTCTAGCCGCCTCAATATTTTTTCTCTTAATTCAAGGATCTCCACTCAAAAATCTCAACAGCTGCTTGGCCCAACAGACTCGTGGCGCAGTGGTTAAAATGCTATACTGCAGCTAAAACTGCTCAATCCCAGGTAGCTATACATCAGGGCAACCTTGAACTCCAGGGTGTAAGCTCCTCTCTAGCCGCCTCAATATTTTTTCTCTTAATTCAAGGATCTCCACTCAAAAATCTCAACAGCTGCTTGGCCCAACAGACTCGTGGCGCAGTGGTTAAAATGCTATACTGCAGCTAAAACTGCTCAATCCCAGGTAGCTGGCTCAAGGTTGACTCCCCCTTCTATCCTGAGGTCGGTACAGTGAGTACCCAGCTCACGGGGGGGGGGGGAAATGTGTAGCCTGCACAATTAACTTGTAAACCTCCCAGAGAGTGTTTGAAGCACTATGGGGCGGTATATAATCCTTCAACTGAATCTCAACCTCACCGTGTGGAGGATTTGTTGGAGATCAACACCTTCAACCATTGAAACATATAGCTACAAATGGCATTTCGAATCCTTTGCTCAGCTTCCGACCCATCCCTCCACTTGGTTTTCTGGTTCACCTAAAGCAGCAAGGTCTGTTTTCTTCCTTTACCTCACTGCTATCATTTCACGTCAGCCCGGTCTTGCTGTATCCAACAGATACAGACCTATTCAGCATGACAGACCTGTCATGACAACAGCCCAAGGGATCCCTGGCTTTTGAGCACTGTAACCTGAAACTATTCCTGAGGGGTCTTGAACATACTTACGTACTCTGACTGTCACTCGTTTCTTTCTCAATGATCCCTTTAGTTGGTTTTCACCTGCTCCAGGGATACAAACATGAATAGCCCATCTCTACTGCCAACCTCTATCTAACTCCAGTTTTATTAGTCACTTGCAAGCTTTTAAAAATTCATTGTGTTAAAATGCACAAAAGCAGAAAGGCATTTCCCTTACATTTGTTTTGGGTGAGATTTTCTCATAATACTCAAAAAGATAAGAACAAGTTCCTATTTTCCCAATAAATGTTTGTAAATCATGCCATTGTGATGTAAACAGAAACCTTTCCATGGATTCAAGGCACACCAGAGATACCGTACTCACAATAAAATTCATGAGCCAAAAACCTCTTCAGCTTTTCCTCGATTTCCCTTGTTTTGCCTCTTCCTTTTTTTTTTTTTGAGGAAGTCCATAATTTTGTGACAAAGTACATGTTTTGCACACAGAAGGTGAAAATCCTTGCCCTTACTGTTAACAAGGAAAATGCAACTCTCCCAAAGTTTTCCGCAGAGGAAGTTCTTTCCCAGCGTTTGTTAGGATTAACTTTTAATTGGATCGTGGCCCACTGGGCTGAACAGCACCAGCCTGAGCAAGGCAGGACTTTGGAAAATAGCATTGGAGCGAGAAGGAACAGAGGTGCGCAACCATCACGATGAGTTTGGAAAGGGCTAAATCCAATTTCAGTTCCTAGAGTAGGACTAATAAATTAAATGATATTCTTAGGCACAAGTAATGAGAGTTCAGCTGATTTCAGTGGTCTCAGGTTAGTCCAAAGTTTGAAGGCATGCATGCGTGGACACAGTGCAGTGCTGCAGGTGTTGACTCCAACTCCCATTATCCTTAGTCCAAGCATAATCCTTATTGAGGAATGCTGGAAGAAGGAGTTTAACATCATTTTCAGGGCTATGCTTTGTTCAACCCTGACTTAAGCACCTATGCTTCCCTGAACTAGTGCAAGTGGGCAAAATTCAGAGTTCATGGACAATTAAGAGCGATTCCTGGCCTCTCAGTTTTAGGGTGGGGGTGCTACCCCCCAACCTGCCATTGCTCCCCTTCATAGGCACCCTTCAGTCTCGAGAGACTATGGTAACATGCTCTGTATAGAGAAGTGTCCTCTCCAGAGCATGAAGCCTGGGTAAAATAATATGGAAGATAGGCTGTTACCCAAGCAGCAAATCCCCCCTCTCCACGTCGCTGAAATAGTCCAATGGAAAGGCAAGAGCCAATACGACTGGTTCCAGCAACGTCACAGGAGTTGGCAGAACGACACGAACTCCCCTTATCTTTTCTAGTACAGTATTAGAATTTGGGTTCCTTAGGAATGCATTCAAGTCGGAAGAACTAAATACTGTACAGTGCATTTTTAGTTTGTGGGACTCCGTGCCGTAAGATGCACGCACTCCACCTCTAACCCAAGGAACAATTTGTAAAGGAGTTTTACAGCAACAACAACCCACTCAGACCTGATACTTGACTTAATCCCACACAGGAAGAAGAAATTCCTGAGACAATATGAATGCCTATTTTTATTTCTGCTTTTATTTTTGTACACATATGTATCAAAAGGCAGAAAGAACAGGGGGGTTGCCAAAACAATGCCAGAAAAGATTGGCCTTGGATGCTATGCCCACTAGTGACTGCCACCAATCTTTATCAGTCTGTAGCCACCAGGAGGGGCTCTCTCTGTGTGTGTGCAGATAAACACCGTAATCTCTTGCCCTTTGGGCGCCCTCCCAACCTCCTGAAATTTCGAGAAAAGCAAAGTACGCCAGACCAACGAGCTACGAAAAGGAAAGAGTGGCGCGTCCCCTTCTGAAGGCTGGGAACACAGAGTTTACGGGACAGTTTCTGGTTTCACTAGCAAGGGTTTTTTTTCCACCCCAAGCCCTAGCTGGACGAGAACACCATTAATAGCAGTTTCTTATAAACGATTCTTTCTCAGTTAAGGCAACAACCCGTCCCCGCAACTTGCAAAGTCAACGTCATAGTAGACAAGAGTTGACGAGGCTACTGATTTTTCAGGAGCCCTCTCTATTACGAACATTTTCCATTCTTCAGACCGAAACCAGCCCCCCCAACACAACCATCTAATAATCACAAGGCACATTAAATAGGTATAGACGGAGGTGAAATCATTTCTTTCACCCCCAAGCAATCCCTAAATTGGGAGCGGCATAAAGTCGTGTTTTTATCCTACTTCTCTATGTTTGCTTTTTTCTTATAGATGACACACAGCGAAATATGACTAATTTCATTTTGTACTGTATTTGATCTTTTATCTCTCACTTAAGAACTATGCAGCAGCCGCAGCAGCAGCAACAACAGTAACAATAACAGTAACAGTAGCAGTAACAGTAACAGTAACAGTAACAGTAACAGTAACAACAACAACAACAACAACAACAACAACAACAATAGCAGCATTAACGTCCTGGACAAGACCGACGTGCTCTTGCAAGAGGGTTTCTAACCATTGCTGCAGTTTTTTTTCTTGAAAGCGATAAATGTTTCTCTCCCATGTGCACATTACGTAATTCTTTTTCCAGTTTTTCATCTCTATTTGTTTTTTAAAAATCTTGTTAGAGCTCCTCAGACTCCAGTAAAAGCTGCAGTAATTACTAATTGCCTCCAAAGAAAGCCGGAAGTCTTTTCTTCGAATCCTCTTTTGTCACTCTAACTTTCCTAGGTCTATATGAGGAATGGCACGGGGGAGGGGAGAGAACGTTCCGAGAAAGAGAAGGAAAGGGCAACAAACTTCAGCCGCGGCGAGTCCGCATGCGCAGATTCCGAAGCCAGGGACTATACCTGGGCGGCGGAGTCACGTGGGTTCTATTCTGGGAAGCAGTTGCGCCGCCGCCGCTGCTGGAGCTCAAGGAGACTCGGTGCGTCCTTGGCGGTGGAAGGAGAGCGAAGCCGGAGGAAGAGAGAGAGCGAGCGAGCGAGCGCCTCAAGATGCCCCGGGGCAGCCGAAGCGTCGGGTCCCGGTCGACCGCGGCCAGGTAGGAGGGCAGGATCCTTTGGAGCAAGGAAGAGGGACGAGGTCACCCACGGAAAGAAGTGCGAGGAGGACGGAATCCGTCTCTCCCTCCTGCTCCAGCACCTCTTCCAAGTGGGAAGGGTCTTCTGTACATGCTCAGGGGTGCTGCGTTTTCTCTGACTTGACGTTTCTTTATGGAACGATTTCAATTTTCAGTAATTTTTTGGTGCAAATAGAGGTATAGTTACGGAGACTACGATCTCTATGCTTTATTTTGAGCTGACGTTTATTTCTGTAGCTATTCTGATTTTTTAAATTATTTTTTTGTTAAACAGAGATGTATAGCTATGAGGGCAATAAATTCTTCAGCGAGCTTAAGATGGAGTAGGTAGCTTTCTTCCTCCCCAGATTTTTTGTTTCTAACAACCCTGCAAAGGTAGGTTAGGCTGAGAGAAAGGGATGGAGAGGCTCCAGCGAATTTTTGTTTCTAACAACCCTGCAAGGTAGGCTAGGCTGAGAGAAAGGGATAGAGAGGCTCCAGCGAATTCGGTGAATTTCATGGCTGGGAGGCAGGCTGAACCTGAAAAGCCTTGATAAATTTCACTTATTATTGTCATTTATTTTATGAAATATATTGCTTGCCTCTACTGCAGAGTTTAAAGCCTTGTGCAATTCTTTTTCACCCTTCCCCCAACCCTGCAAGGTAGGCTAGGCTGAGAGAAAGGGATAGAGAGGCTCCAGCGAATTCGGTGAATTTCATGGCTGGGAGGCAGGCTGAACCTGAAAAGCCTTGATAAATTTCACTTATTATTGTCATTTATTTTATGAAATATATTGCTTGCCTCTACTGCAGAGTTTAAAGCCTTGTGCAATTCTTTTTCACCCTTCCCCTACTTTCCCCCCTTCATAAACAGCTCTGGTAATAGGCTAGACAGAGAGGAAGCAAGAATCCCAAGGTCATCTGGCAAGTTTTCTGCCCTCCATAGTACAATATTTACAGATGGAGAGATCCCAGCGCTGCCAGTCTAAAGACACAGCAGTCACTGGCTTTTCTACCTTAACACCCTCCTTTTTTTTTTGGAGGAAAGATGAAAAACAGAAATGAGGGTAAAATATGGGGAGGGGGGTTTAGAACTTGAAATTAATATAATCTGAATGTCCCACCCTTCCTTGCCCCCATTCTGTGAACAAGGCAGGATGGTTGTACAGTCAGGTTCTTGCCTGGCAGCACACTGTAATCATTACACCACACTGCCTCTTGAATGTTAAAAAAATTCTGGTGCTCAGAATAGTCGAGGAAGCCTGGGAAGATCAGGGTTTCCCCATTAAAGCCTTTGCCCTGCACTGAGGAGGAGCGGGATTAGAGGTGGGGGGTGGTTGGGTGTGCGGGCGACGGAATAATTTACTCACTTAACATTGAAGCCCAAGAGGACACCGAGACAAGCCAGGGTGGGGAAATGGGGGCGGTGAAAGTGTTGGGCTTGGGACTCTCTCAGGCTGTCCTGCCTCCTGGGGTTGGCGTTGTGACTGGAGGACAGGTGGGAGATGGGAGGCAAGCAATGGTCAGTGAGGAGAAAAGCAATAAGGTCGAATGGACGGGTCCTTGTCAAACTGCATCTTGCAGACAGTGCAGGGCTACGTATTCAATAAAAACCTAATTTGGAGAGAAAGAGAGACTAGTAAAGAAATGGCAGGACTTGGAGAAAAGTTCCTCTCCTGAATGGTTTCTGGGAATTCTGGTGCAGGAAAGGAACTTCTCCAACCTCTGGGAAAGGAACATGTGGGGGGGATTGTTTAGGGCTTGCCGTTTATTTATTTTATTTATATCCCGCCTATCTGTGGGGGGATTGTGTAGGGCTTGCCGTGCTGAGGTCCTACAAGCTTGAGGCCATGTTTTCTCCTCCCTCTTCTTTATTCTCTCTGTCTCTCTCATCAGCCCAGCTCCGTCGCATGCCGCCCCTCCAGCTCATCCTCCCCCGTCGGCTGTGGCCGCCCCCGCTCAGCCCCAGCAACCGGGCTTGATGGCCCAGATGGCCACCACTGCTGCCGGAGTGGCCGTTGGCTCAGCCGTGGGGCATGTGGTGGGCAGCGCCCTCACCGGGGCCTTCAGTGGCAGCAGCTCTGAGCCAGCGAAGACCGTCAGCGGTGCTCCCAGCCAGGTGAGGCTGGAACTGGTAGACCTTAAATGCTCTGTTAGTGTTTGTGGCTGGGAAGGGCTGCTGGATTTGTTCATAAACATAGTGGGAGTTTCTGGAATTAAATGTATTCGCGAAGGCTTTCATGGCCGGGATCTGATGGTTGTGGGTTTTTCGGGTTCTGTGGCCGTGTTCTGAAGGTTGTTCTTCCTGACATTTCGCCAGTCTCTGTGGCCGGCATCTTCAGAGGACTGGAGTAGGAACTCTGTCCATGCTCTGTTGCTGTTTGTTGGATAGTTGAGTATTTATAGCTGTGGGAACAGCTTTTGTCTTTTTTCAGGAGAACAACCTTCAGGACATGGCCAAAGAGCCCGAAAAACCCACAACAACCATTTCTGGAGTTCATTGGCTTCTCACGTTTCTAATTCATAGGCACTTTTCAAAGTTCCATAAAAAGGGAACACATCATTTCCCTTGGGAACTTAGAAGTCTTAAGATTCAGTTCAAGGGCCACTGTAGCAGTTTAGTTTTAAGTCTTTCGTATTTTGAAAGCCAAGGGGCTGTTCAGAGATGAGGGATGCATGGCCATCCAGATGGGGTTGGACTGCAACTCCCTTTCAGCCTTAGCCAGCCCAGGCAGTGGTGAGGGGAGCCTGGTTCAGAATGTAAATCCTGCCACACAGTAAGGAGAAGAGCTCCTTACACAGAGGGTGGGGGTGATCTCTAGTAACACAAAGCTGGAATGGCCAAGCTCCATCTTGAATAGCTTGTGCCTTGAGGACCTTCCTCCATCACTTCAGAACAAGGCATCCCACAGCTTGGCCCAGGAGGGTGCAAAAAAACATGAGTTTCCTGGTCAAATTGGGGCTTTTTTAAAAGGCAGTCATTGTGTTAGATGTGGTGTGTTGTTTTTCCTTACCGAAAGCGGGAAGCCTGGCATTCTCTCGCCTTCAGCGGGATCTTACAGTGAACTCTGTCTACACGGTCAGCTAAAAGTAGAAGTGGATGAAATGCCAATTGGGGAGAGCTTAATGCAAAGCCAAACCTGTCCTGAAGATTAGCACGGCAGTGCTGTTGTTGCTTAAGCGTGCTGGCGTCTCGTTCAGAAAATGCTCACCTGCAAAGTTCTCTCCTCCTTCCGGGTTGTGTGGAGCACCACTTCCTGAAAGATCTGCTGGAAAGGTGGAGACACGATGTTTCTTGATTGGGTTGTTATGGACTTACTGCTTCAGCTACTCTTTGAAAACCCAGCTGCCACTCCCAAAAGCCAGTATTTTGCCCCATGGCAACTCTGCACCGAACTGGATTTAGCAATGTAATCACCCCAGTAGAAAGCAAAGCAGAAATCTGAATTATTGACCACACATTGGGGAAAACAGTATGGGGGACAGTGGCTGGATCAGCTTTTCCAGCCTAGATCGCTCCAGATGTTTTTGACTACAACCTCTTATAATCCCTGACCTTTGGCAGTAGTGCCTGGGGCTGAGAGTTGTAGTCCAAACATCTGGGAAGACCAAGGTTGGGGGAAAACTGGCCTGCATGGGCAAGAGTCCACCCTGGTAATGACAGCTTCCTCTAATCAAAGAACCCTGCCAGATTTTTATCTCCAGCTGATTTCTTCTTCTTCTTCTTCTTAGGAGCCCAGGCAGCAGCCAGCCTATCAGCAATCCCAGTATGGGCCCTGTCACTATGAGATGAAGCAATTCCTTGACTGTGCAACAAACCAGAGTGACTTGACCTTATGTGAGGGCTTCAATGAGGCTCTGAAGCAGTGCAAGCATGCTAGTGGTGAGTCTTTTGAGAAGGAGCCATGTCCTAACCCAGTGATGGCGAACCTAGGGCACGTGTGCCAAAGCCGGCACGTGAAGCCCTTTCTTCTGGCACGCGACAAAGCTTTTGAAGTGGCTGCAGCTGGGATTCCCCCTTTCTCTTCCTGTTCTGGGTCCTTTAACTTCCTGTCCGTCCCCATGATTCCCCCTTTAACTTCCTGTCCGTCCCCATGATTCCCCCTTTAACTTCCTGTCCGTCCCCATGATTCCCCCTTTAACTTCCTGTCCGCCCCCATGATTCCCCTTGAAACTGCCACTTCCTGTTCCAATTCTGGTCTTCCGGGCGGCACGACAGCCACTGGTTTCTTCCCCACCCCATCCTTTTGGGCACTCCAGCCGAAAAAGGTTTGCCTCCACTGTCCTAACCTGACTTTCGGTTGAGATTTACAATACTGCTGCAGTGTTGCTGTCAGCCGCCATAACCCATCCCCGTTGCCATTCATATGTTGCAAACAGAGCTTGGAAAAATTCATATTTTGGAATTCATCTCCCAGAATCTTGCTGCATTGGCTGGACAATGGAAGATAGAGTCCAAGAGTGGAACCTGGTGCCAGCCAGATGTGTTCGGTTGCAGCCTTGTGTTGCATTCCTGACTGTTAAATGTACTTGTTCAGGAACTGGAGTCCAGCTACATCGGGAGGGCATCAAGTTGGAAAAGAAAGGAATCGAAAGTGTGGGTGGGGGGGTTGAGCAAACAAAGGCTCCCCCATGTTACCTAGAAACGTGCATGGTCAGGATGAATCGAAACCTAAGAATCTGCTCTGTGCCAGCAGTGCTTATTGGTCCATGTAGCTCCGGATTTCCACAATGGTAGCTGTCGGCATTGGATTTTTAGACATTTTGGACTTCATCTTCCAGAAACCTCACCTGGCATGCCCTGTGGTCATGGATTCTGGGAGTTGGAATCCAGGTACCATCTTGGTACCAAGGTGGTCTGGTAGTATAGATAGGCGGGGTATCAATCAATCAATCAATCAATCAATCAATCAATCAATCAAAAAAGTGAAAAGGTGAAGGGTTGAAAACCACTGATGCTACCTGGGTGGCCAACTTGAGGGCAGCTGCAAGTAGGTGGGGGGGGGGGGGAGGAGGATAAAGAAGAGAGACAGGTAAGAGGAGGAGGTGGCCTGTCCCAGTTCTGGTTCTGGCTCCACCCACCAGTGCTATGTAGCACCATCAAATGATCTCTGTTGGAACAGGGGCCTCTGAGAACCTTTCCTAGCCCTGCCGTGGAGCTGAGGCTCTGTCACGAAGTTACTGCCTTTCACCACGAGGGCTGGAACACACTGAGGATTTCCTGTTTGCTGAAACAGAGTCTACTTGCTTCTCTTTGCAGGCGTTCATTCCCTGTTGTGAAGACGTTTTGGCTCAGTGCTGTGGAATAAAAAGCACCTGGAAGGACGCCGTAAACCCAAGGGGACGGGAAGGGCTAGCGATCAGTGGATGAGACGGATCCAGCTGCATCAATAAAAACTCTTTCGTGCTGTTCTCAGTTGCAGATTAGTATGCACTTTTTGGCTGAAATACTTCTATCTTTGCACTGTGAAGACTGAGGCATCACTTGACTTGTTAGGGAAAATGTGAAATAAAAAATAGTGGTTTATTTTATCTGAAAATTTGTGTTTGTGGTGACACTGAATAAACATATAGACACACAATACTTCAGATCTTTAAAAGAAGACTTGACTAATGTACCACATTAGCTGCCTTTCTTTCTGCTTAATTCTGTGGGTCCCCAATTGGAAGGCAATATCCAGAGTACATCCCATTGTATCCATTGGTTGAAACCCTGTCACTTCACATACTGAGTTGCAACTAGAGCAGGTCCATAGAATCTAATTCTAGAAGGGCTGGGAGGTTCCTTCAGCTCTGCATAGACATCTGCTAGCTGACACTCAATGCAAACAAATAATTTTTTTAAAATAATTTTTTTGTCACTAAATGGACAACTGCACCTCCACAGACCTTGAGAAGGGACACAGTTGGCCACTTAAAGGCTAATTTGGGCTCCCTCAGATATGAGATGTCAACAAACAACCTTGTCTGTCTTGGCAGAGTTGAAATCTTTGGCTTAAACATTTCTGGCTGCACAGCGACCTAGAGAGCAAAATTAACTTCAAGTTTCCCCACAGCAGACTAGCCCTTTTTTGTTTTGTCCTACTCAACTGGCACTTGCTGTCTCAACAACTCAGAGACACTTGGTAAGAGAAAGAATAAAAAGTTCCATTTACTCACAATTTTGAATTGTTAAAAAACAGCATATTGTAGAAAAATTGATAGGTTACACAAAAAGAGCTTAACTGAGTCATCACTTCATGGCTAACTGCATAACTAAAACTGAATACTAGCTGTACTACACAACACTAACTGAATACTGACTATAGATTAACAGACAACAGACTGAAAAAGGACAGCAAAATACTACGTAGAGAGGCGTGGCTTGCTTCAATATCAGAGGCAGAGAGCAAACAATTGGTTACTGCTGGATTGATTGACATTTACCCCAGTCCAGAAAGGTCCCTCCCAGCGAAAGCCCCTTAAAGGCAGCATACAAAGGTTGCTAAATGCCAACAGTCTTCAATGCAGAAGTGACTTCATCTGGGGGTCTGCATTTGGCTTAAGAGCCCATAAGTGGCTCCGTTTGGCATTGCTGGAATGATTGACATCTAAGGAGGAGAAATGGCCCAGTTACTGGGTTCTTGTACACCAGCAATTCCCTGTTGACTCAAATGTTGAAGGAGATGGTGGCGATGTGAGATGGAAGTGCCGTTGGCACACATGCATGGCTCCTCGGCTGTCTTATTTTAGATCAGCTGGTTATGTAAGGTGCAGAAGATTGTTGGCATCAGTGGTGCTCTTGAGGATCTTAGCAATTTAATTGGTTGCAGGTGGCTATTAGATCAACTGTCCGCTTCTGCTGCTGATACAGTGAAAAGGTTGCCCTGATGGAAACTCTGTGGCTGGAATTCGAGTGGCCATTGGACTAACTGGAAGAGATCATGGTCCATGTGAGTGACCTGAGACTCGTGAGAGGCTGCCGTGGGGCTCATTACAGTGGCAGACCTTGGGAAATTGACTTCCCTGGACTAGGACTCCTGGACTTCCCTATCCAGCAGGATTGGGGCCATGCTAGGTGGGGAATGCTGGGAGCTGTAGTCCGAACTCCTGATGAATAATTCCCACCCCCTGGTCCAAAAATTAGGAATGGAAAAATCTGTGACGTCTGCCTCTTCAGTCAATTGGGTTTTTAAAAATAAAACACGTCTGATCCAAATACATGGAATTTTGTAAATTTTGATAAACTCTTAAAAATGAACTGTATTTAATTACTCTTTGCCCCAACCACATCTAGGTGGTACTGTACAGCTATTTTTTTTGTTTTAGTGAGAACTGGATCTAATTAATATCTCATTGTCGGAGTGGTTCTAAAAAGGTTTTGGAGGCCCGGCTTGATTCTTTGAGATTAGGAAAAATCACTGGAGTGATTTTAGTTTGGTTGTTGAGGGTTTTTCGGGCTCTTTGGCTGTGTTCTGAACGGCCAAAGAGCCCAAAAAAAACCCACAACAATCATCAGATCCCTGCCGTTAAAGCCGTCAAGAATACATTAATTTTAGTTTGTTCTTTTAAAAAATGTCATTGACTTTGTTTCACTAAATGTTTAGCATTTGCAGAGCAGTTTCTGCACGGAAACTGTAAGAATATAAACTGGAGAACTTCTGGGAGGTCTATAAGACTTGAGTAAGTTGTATTGAAATGAAATAAAGAACGTGGATATGGGCAAAAATTAACCATTGCAGAACAGGGGGTGGTGGAATAACCATCCTATCTTGTTATGAAAGACAAACAGCTGCACAGGAACTACACAACCAATTCTTGTGATATTAGTGACTGTAAAAAATTTTCTGATCGTACCTGGACCTATAATGGATCCTGGTTTGAGTGAGGACTTGTATTCTTACCGTCATAATGAGTACACAAGATTACCTATTTTTAGATCTAGGGACTAGTGGGTGCCTAGTGGATGGCGAACAACAAATCCAACTGGAAATAAATGGAAACTATTTGCAGTAAGTATGTGCAATGCCCTGAATCTGAATCTAAACTTCGTAGATTCTTTAGATGTCTGCCATTCAAATAATGGAATTCACCTTTATTCCGCGTAAATATTATGTGATGCCTGCTATCTCTGCATTCACCTTTAGGTGGAGGTATTGGTCCATTTCTTCACTTTTTCTGCTCTATGAAACAGCAAAAAAAAAAAGCCTGCAGCACCTCTTAAAGGCTAACAAGTTGATATTAGCATGCATTTTCACAGACTCCAGCCCATTTGTCAGAGGAGTGAAGCATAACCCAGAAGTTCAGACTTGTGAACATACTTTATTGATGTAAATATCTGTATTTGTATATAGATATCTATATACTGTAGAAATTGCTATATCTATAGACAATGGGAACTGAACAGCATGTCAGTCAAGGTTTTTCTGGATGCATCTGAGGGATGCAGTTCATCACTGAAGTATATAAACAGAAATATTTAAGCAAAATATAAATCATATTATATCTATTTTTTGGGGGGCAATAAATCATACAATATTGTGCTTAAGAATTCTATACGGAAAGAGTTGCCAGTGTGGAATATGGAATTCCCAGTGTGGTGCAGTGGACAGAGTGACAGACTAGGACTCTGGAGAAGAGGGTTCAAGTCCTCGCTTGGCTGTGGAAACTCAGTCGGGGAGCGGAACGGGTAAAAGCTTAAACATCTCACTTACCTTGAAAGGGTCACAATAAGTTGGTTCAGACTTGATGGCACACACATACGGAATGAGTAAATTAATTATCGGATTTATGTAAAGGTAGTGTTGTTGGTGATATACGGATCTCTCTTTGTAGGTGAAATTCTACATGGCCGTGAAGCCAACCCTATCATTACTTCTTTCATCAGTACTTTTTATTACCTTTGTATTCTCATTGGAAGGTATCAGATTGGGGAAGATGAGTTAGGAGCCTTATTAATCACAATTTTTAAGACTAAACATTTAAACAATGAATTCATAATTCCAATTTATCGAATGTTTTTTACTTTGAATATCAACAGCAACAAACTGGGTTTTGAGCTTTCGGACCACAACATTCCAACCTCTGCAAAAATTACCTTAAATGTTATGATCAAAGTTGTTACCAGCTGCGGTCAAGTTGTGTCCAAGTCACACTGATCCACAAAGAGTTTTCCAGGTATGTGAAACATTTGCCTCAGTGAAATCCCATAACCAAGCAGGGATTTGAGACAGATCCCGGATCTTTGCTACCAGAGTGGGCCTTCTGCCCTTTGAGAAGCTTCGTGCAAGACTAAGGTCACGACATTTGAATAAGCAGAAGCTGAAACCCCTCCTGCACTTGGCTGCCAAGACAGGTAAGCATCCCAGTCATGAACTCTACTCTGCCCCTGTGCCAGCCCGGACTGTTATCTGTTACTTCCGACCCGTGTTTTGGCTATAAGGCATCAGTATCCTTTTTCCTGAATGATTCTTGCCCGCGGATTACATCTGCCGTTGCAAGATATCTTTTGGAAATTTCCAATTTAACCCATTACCTATGATACTATTTGTTGAGTGTATCTCCTATTTTACGTTTACTCTGATCATCGCTTGGCTTGTACCTATGCTTTGTTGTTGTCCGTTTATATGCCAATAAAGGTTTCGAAATCGAATCGACAGGTAAGCATCCCAATCATGAACTCTACTCTGCCCCTCTGCCAGCCGGACTGTTATCTGTTACTTCTCACCCGTGTTTTGGCTATAAGGCATCAGCGCATCCCCAGGAACCTTAAGATATTGCAAGTACGACATCCTGGGAGGGAGAGGAAGTGTTGATTTGCATAAGAGAGGCTTTAAATGGGAAAAAATCGGGGGATGTTAGTCACCTGAGCTGCTAAATTCCCAACCATGATGTTGAAGCCTGCCTTCCTCGTCCTTTTGGCCTATTGCACTGGTGAGAAGCGGGGAAATCCCTCTGGATTTTAAAGCATCTGCTGAGATGCTTGTTTTGAATGGCTCCTCTGTTTCCATACTGTTGGTTATCGACACAGAGAGAATAATACCTCGGTTTCCTACGTCAAACCTGGGATATGAGCATTAGGGTAGGATCGTTGTTGTCCCACTTTTCTCACAGCAGGACGAGGAGGTGCCCCTCTTGACAACCCCTCCCCCTCTGGAAGCTACCAGTAAAGGCACTGGAGCGCTATCTCTAACTGCAGATGGCAATTTTACTGCAAGACTGACATGAGTGACTGTTTGGTTTCCTATCCTGTTCATTCCAGGCTTCGGTTCTCAGGCTGCCTTGACTCAAAGCGGACCTGTTTCGGTGGCTCTGGGAGAGACGGCAACCGTCTCCTGTACTCTGCAAGAAGTGGAGTTTATCAGCACCACCAGCCCATCCTGGTACCAAGTGAAAACGGGAGAGGCTCCCCAGTTACTTATCTACAAGTCCAGGGAAAGAGACTCGAGGGTCCCAGAGCGTTTCTCTGGAGATACCCACGGCAAGACCGCAACACTGACCATCGCTAGGGTCCAGGCAGAGGACGAAGGAGATTATTATTGTGCCGTTTGGTTTAACGACAGGTGACACTGCAGTGCAGAGTGATGGGGAACTGAAACAAAAAAAACCTTCTTGGGCCTGAAAAAAAAGAGGCAGGGAAACAAAAGGTGAATAAAAGGAGAAAATAAGAATACACTATCCAGGGGATTTCTAAAGCCCTCTATTTAAAAGGTTTTGATGGATCTGAATGCCATATCTTGTCATGATCACTTGCAAACCTTGCTCTTCATGGATAGCTAGGAAGGAATAAAGGGATGGGGTGGCGCTGCAGGTTAAACCGCAGAAGCCTCTGTGCTGCAAGGTCAGAAGACCAGCCATCGTAAGATCGAATCCACGCGATGGAATGAGCACCCATCACTTGTCCCAGCTCTGGAACCCCCTCCCACTGAAGGCCTGGCGGGCCCCATCTCTCCTATCCTTCCATGAGCAGACAAAGACCTTTCTCTTCAGACAAACCTTCCCTCTTTGACTGGCCACCTGAGTGAGATTTTTAAATGGATTGTTATGCCTCGCTGCTTTGAATGTGTTTTTGGTGTTGCTTTGTTTAGCATTTTTTTAGTGTGGTCATTATTGAGACCTCTTTCAGTTATTGTATACTCACTGTTTTTAGCTTTAACGTTGCCCTTTAATAGTGTAAACTGCCTTGAGTCCTTTTAAAGGAGAAAAGTGGAGTAAAATATATATTTTAAAAATAAAAAATAAGTAAAGATGGAGAGAAACTTGAGGGCCTTTCCTGTGCCCTTCCTCTCTCACCCGTGGTTAGTATTGTTCTTGCATCCAAGATGATCAGCAGATGATTTGTGCCAATTTTGCCCATTCCACCTTTGAAAAGGTGACATGCATCAGGCAGAAGAGTTTCTGTCCCCACTACCGTTGTTAGCGTTGCTTCTCAAAATATGGATTCTAACCTTTTTGCAGTGGAGGGGGTGTCATTGCCCCACACAACAGAGTGGGTGTTACTTGCATTCTGCCTTGAGCCCCACCCCATCAATGGTGTTCTGCAGTTCAAATGTCTTTCGAGATCACCGTGCCATCAGAAGCAACCTCAGGAATCAGTAAGAACACATCTGCAGAGTTTGCTTGATCCATAAAGTCTTCGGGATCATGGATCTACTAGGGCCATCTCTGTGGTGCCTGGGGCTTTTCTTAGCTGGTACTATAATTTTCCAGAATTCACAGATAAAACAGGGAATGTGGCCTGGACATGATCCTCTTGAGAGAAACCAGAGATCTGAAAGCCATCTGCAACATGGATTGCAGTTTCTTCTCTTTGGGCTGTGGCTTGATAACGTGGAGACCCACAGACCTTTCACTGCTATTTAGCTGGATATGTTGTGCTCAGCTGGAGGATAATTTAGCTGCCTCCCCCCAATTGACATCAGTAGGACTTAAGTCAGGATAACTCTGTCTCACTGATTTCAAGAATCTACAGATTTAGTATGGATTTAGTCAATGGGGCTGTAGCAAATTACACCCTTGTGGTGAGATGCATGACATAGCTGTGGACCAAGGACTTGAGGCAAGGCAAGAAATCCAGTGGCTATTGCTGGATTGCACACCCTGTCATCCATCACCTTCAGATATTCTGTCTGAGGATGATGGGAAAAACAATTTCAGCATCATCTCAGGGGCCACACATTGCCCACCCTCAGCTAAGGAAGCGAAGTTCATTGAGTATGATGCTTTGTATCCATAGCTGTGGCTTACATGATACGTAGAAACAGCCTTTGTTAATGTTTGTGTGGTGTTTGTGTGTTTTAACAGCAAGCAGTACTGAAGCGAGATTGACTCAACCAAAAGCCTCATCAGCGTCCCTGGGAAATGCAGTTCGCCTTTCCTGCACCCTCTCAACTGACAGCATCGCAACATATACCATACTCTGGTTTCAGCATAAATATCCAAGCCCTCCAACATACCTCCTGAATTACAAAGATGATTCTAGCCAAGGAAAGGTCGCTGGGGTCTCAGATCGCTTCTCTGCTTCCAAAGACATCAGTGCCAGCACCTGTTACCTGACCATCTCCAGGGTCCAGTCAGAAGATGAAGGTGCTTATTTTTGTGTGACATCCAAAGGGGGAGAGTAGCACCATGTTACAAGTAATGATAACATTGAGACAAATGCCTTGTCTCATCTCCTTGGGGAGCACATGGATGCAGTTGACAAGATAGGCATCTGGCGGATGGCTGCAGCTTGAGATTTGCATGAAGAAGCTATGTATAGCCTAGATTTTATTTTCAGAAGATCTTCAGTAGAGGAGTCTCGGTTGCTTGTGAAGCCATGAAAGGGTGAATATGTCAAGGAGAACTTCCTTCAAGTTCATGCAAACTGGATAAGCAAACATGAAAGAATAGATTATGGATGATGATACATTAAACAGCATGCATAATTTATATAAAATTCATCCTTTTGTTTTTGAAGGAGATAATTTCCATCAGATTTACCAGAGAGTGGATTTGGGGAAAGGTAAGTGGTTAAGGTTCAACAGTAGCTTGTTGATGGACATGCACAAGACTAACTGGCCCAATATGAGCCCAGAAGATAAAGAAACTGTGGACAGGTTAGCTGGTTCCAGATTCATTGAGCCTGCTACGAGGCAGGCTGTAACCAAGCAGGCGAGGAGAGTTTTGATCTCCCATTGTAAACATGAAGTCCAGCCATGAATTTTGCCCCATTAGATATTCATTTGGTTTAGGAAGACTGCTCAAAATAGTCCCTGCGCTGCTTCCCTTCACAATCCTTGTTTCCACTGTTGATGGAAATACACTTGGTGAAAATCGAAACATCACTTGGAGCAAATAAAATATTGTACTTTTCTCTGGTACAGCTGTGAATATTTGGTGTTGCTATATTGCGGGATGTCTTTACTGTTTCTGTTCCCTTGCAGATTGCAGTGTCCGGTAACTCCAGGGCCCGAAGTCCCAAATGGCACTGGCCATGTCATCTGTCAAGCAAATTGAGCAGCTAGACCTGTTCACAAAAATCAGGTAAGAAACCACAAACAACAGCCCTTCTCAGGTGTCAGCGCCTGAAACAACGTAGAGGGCTAAAAGGATGGGGGAAAGCCTCTCTCACATCCCATCCTTCCCTGGAAGTCAATGAAGCAGAGGCTGTAAGCATATTCAGTTCCACATGCTTGCAGTACTCATGTGACATGCCTTTTATCAGGGCTCCTAAAAGCATGCTGCTTATATACCGCCCCATAGCGCTTCAAGCACTCTCTGGGCGGTTTACAAGTTAATTACGCAGGCTCCTAGTCAAGAAAGTATTGTAGGCACTTCGAGGTGAACAGGTTTATGGCCTCCACCTTTGTGTTCCTTACGTAAAGGTTTCGGTGACTTATAGGTGGCAAGGGGTTACGGGGGCAGGACTTACGGGCACCCCCACCTCAACAATACTCTTCAAGCTCAGGCTGTTACCCCTGAATAAGACTACTACATCTGCCTATCTCATATGTAGATATAATGTATTTTATGTTAGTAATATAATCACCTGTTCAATTTATGGCCAGAAGGGTTGTGTTAAAGGCCCTTAACCTTCTAAGGGTTTAAAGAGATGAATAATGTTTTGGCGAAGAAAAATAAAGTATACAGAACTTGCCTTCTGTTCTGCAATCCAGTTCAGCCACGGAAATAACACAGGAAAAACAGATCATTAATACTTTGCGAGCCGTGAGTTTAGATTAATTAACTACAGCTTGTCAATATTTAATTTGTTGAAATCTTTTTGGGTGAGCCTCAATTATGCCCTATCATAGTTATAGCACTGTGTGTAGAGAACACCCTTTGCGAGCCGTGAGTTTAGATTAATTAACTACAGCTTGTCAATATTTAATTTGTTGAAATCTTTTTGGGTGAGCCTCAATTATGCCCTATCATAGTTATAGCACTGTGTGTAGAGAACACAGCCATGGGCCAGGGTGTGGACTCACCTCCCTCTATTACTATCTCCACGCAAGAATTGGAGGTTGTTCATGAATTTGTGTACCTTGCCTCAACGATCTCTGACACTCTCTCCCTAGATGTCGTGATGGATAAACACATTGGGAAAGCAGCTACTATGTTCTCTAGACTCACAATGAGAGTATGGCTTAATAAGAAGCTGACAGCATATACCAAGGTCCAGGTCTATAGAGCCTGTGTCCTGAGCACACTCCTGTACTGCAGTGAGTCCTGGACCCTTTGTGCACGGCAGGAGAGGAAGCTGAACACCTTCCATATGTGTTGCCTCCATGCATTTTTGGTATCACCTGGCAGGACAAAGTTCCAAATAGAGTAGTCCTAGAACGAGCTGGAATTTTTAGCATGTATACATTACTGAAACAGCGATGTCTACGTTGGCTTGGGCGTGTCATGAGAATGGCTGATGGTCGGATTCCAAAAGATCTTCTGTATGGAGAATTAGTGCAGGGAAACCGCCCCAGAGGGAGACCACAGCTGCCATACAAGGACATCTGCAAGCGGGATCTGAAGGCCTTAGGAAAGGACCTCAACAGATGGGAAACCCT